TTTCTGGGAAGCGTGGACTAACTGCAGCTGTACTCACCATATATATGTACTTCAATCTTAGCCCAGCTGCTGCTGGGTTTACTGTTGTTAGCCTTATTGTGAGTGATAATCGTCGTCCGGGAGGGCCGACCGGAGCAGCTTGGGTTTTCCATATGAGGCCCGTGTTTGGTCTCACCCACGTTGTTGCCTAATGCACAGAGCAACAACCTGAAGAGACCGAAGAATGTTGGCGCGCGTTCAGCATCTGTTTAACAAAAGTCTCGCCGTCCACCTGAAAACATCATGTAGAAAGAGTTGAATAGATAAAGCGCTATTTCATACAGGGGTGGTGCCCGAAGAGTAAGTGAGGGCTACCAAAGAGCACAGAGAATTAGTAATTTGAGAAAATCGCTCCATCCAAAAATGCGGATGATAGCCAAGACTCATAAACAACAGAGTGAGACGGAGGAGGAGGTTTTACGATCGGACACAAATAGTTTTTGAATCTGTGTATATCAACTCCCAAAACCAGTTGGCAGGGGTCTCATCCTCCACAGCATAGGAGCCACAGAATCACTGCCTCGCTTGGAAAAATGTCTTCATGTGTACCTTCTGGCTACACTGGCCGACATCCGAGAGCCACAGTTTACTCTAAGTTTCTACGAGATATCTACCGTCGCTGTACGGATTTTTGAAGGCCCATTTAGTTTCTGTGCCCAATTTTTCGGTGGCCCAAATTCTAAACATTTCTCAGATTGTTGTTGTTTTGCCTATCCACCAAGGGTTTAGTCGACACTAAAATCTGTCTTAGAAGTGCTGATTTCGTATATAAATCGTGCTCTACCTGATCCAGTCTGGCACCATATTCGTCTCCCTAGTTGCGCGAGCCCAATGAGGAGTTCTGGACTAAGTGCAGTCTGAAAACAAACGCCTCGTTTCTATTCGCCCCATTTATCCCGTGGACGAAACTGTAACTCTACGGATAGAAGCACATCCACATTGGCGGATTCCGTCAGCCCGTAACAGGCTGTGCATGAAGCCAACCTCATGGCTTGGTCCCCTTTTTTGCAGATTTCCACGTTTGCAACCTAAACATCTCATACCGTGAAGAGAATATTCGAGGTTCACGTTGCAGATTCGTGTCTAACCTCCAAGTTGCCCGTGAAAAGATACGTGCAACTCATCCACATACCAACCTGACTTAAATGCCCAGAAAGCGCGTTGACAGAAATTTAGCAACCTGGTTCTGGCGAGGATTTTATAGGAATTTTAGCTCAAACAGTGCGGCAACACCCATGTACGCCACATGTAGAGGAACAACTGAAGTGTCGCTCTGGTTTCAAACTTCCACTTCCAAGAAATGGTAATCAGAATCCTTTTTTATCACACTGGACAATGCTCACTCTCAATCAGTTTCCTTGTATTTGTCTAGAAATCTCCTCACATGAAAACCTGTCAGAG